GCAGAAGGGGAGTTGTTGGTCCGGTAGCGAAGACACTTGGCAACTCTGTCTTGCCAAGAAGGTTGGTAAAAGACGGCAACGCCGAGCGCCGTCTGGGTGCTGCTGCCTTGTTGACGGGGCCGCGGATAAGACTATTGGTAGTCGAGCTGCACAGAGACTGACCAGCATCGTCTGATATGCTGACTCGTCTCAGCTCGTCCCGGAGAGCATTTATCTGCTTCGTCAACTCCTTCATCTGATTGCGTATGAGAAATATAGAAAATATGAATATAAATGTGGACTGTACGGTGCAATAAAAAACTTGATCCATGTTTTCCTATCTGAATAAGAATACATTTTGGAAAGCATGGAAACATTCAAATTATTCCACCAAAGATTATACTACTTTTATGAGTATAAGTAATGTATGCGATTGTAATGATAAAATACACTTTATTTATATGATTATTATATTCAACTATAATTCTCAGTATTGCAATGATTTCCTATCTAGCTGTCTCTCTTTGTTGGTATGCATTAGTTGATAAAATAAGATGTATGGCAAGATCAATTAAATATTTCTAATAATCAAACAAAATATGAGTGGTTTTCACTGGTAGTTGAATTTGTCCAAAATTATGAGAAGAGCTGACGTTTCCACTGAATTTCACAAAATGAGAGGAGTGCATTTTCGACATCGCAGAAGTTTTATCATATCTAAGAGCGGAAGTCGAACCATGAAAGTGCACCGTGTAAGCTTGACACGTCATCCATTACGCCACAATGCCACGAGTAGCCTTGGGTTACAGGGCAGATGTGAATTTCGAGAAATGTCAGACTTTTTTCATATCACATTGTTTTGAGATTATCGATGAATCAAACTTATATTTGCTATGGAAATCGACGATATTACTTTTTTCGAAAGCTTACTCACTAAACTTATTGGCTGAGTGTCTATGATAATTTATAGCATCACAAGGTTGACTTTACACATTTGCAAGGAATCGCAGTAATTAAAATTAGTACAAGGCTCAATTCTTGAGACAGATACAATTTAGTGATGTTGTAACTTTACTGTGAATAGCGGATTAATGAGGTTTGCGCGGAAATTCTTGGACAATGGTCAGATAATAGAAATTGTCATAAATTTGGGTTCATTATGTAAAGGTAATGAACGACTGACTGAGGTAGTTTAATTTTCCCACGATGTTATGAAAAGACGTACTAATAATCAGTGAGGAGAAAAGTTTATTTTGTTGTCCTTAATATAACTTAATACAAATGCATTAATTCTATTTCGTTAACGAAAGACTGATTATTATATTTTTCCAGTCTTATTTCCCAAAAGTGTATCCTTATTCAGACAAAAAAAGACTGTCGGTTCGACTCAAATTGACTTCACGAGATCAGAACTGCAGTCCTTTTTGTCAGGACGTGAATTCCTTTGAGGAAGCAAGGCTATTTGAAATATAATGGCAGTCGAAGATCTACTTATCTGCTTGTGGGAAAATCCAACTACAAGTTGATCATTATTTAGTACTAGATTGTAGTTTGGCAGTCTCGAAAACATACTATTAAACGAAAAATAAGATTGAAAGTATGAAGACCAAGATGGTGTGTGTAGTCGCAGTCTCCTTTGTTGTATAAAAGTTGTTTGACCTTGTTTTCGCAAATTGGTCATGTTGGTAGGAAGACATGGAGGAAAGCGCCGAGTACGAAATCCATTTTATGGATAATACTTGGACGTGGTACATTCACAAACGCTTCGCGATTCTTAGCACCATACAACAACCCGTCAGAGACAAACAAGCCTATTCTTTGACCAAACGTGTGCTTAACTGTTGTGCTATCTCCCTTTCTGTCCTGGGCTATTCACATTTCCTATATCCTCCTATCACACCTTCAATGTCACAATTTTTACAGTGCCTGTTTACATGTAGTGTAGTGTGTTCCTTCGAGCGGCATTAATAAAAACCCTACTCACTCCATGCTGTCGTTATCACACTCTTTATGTTGACCAGTCTGCCATATTGTTACGCAGTCCTCCTTCCCTGGATCCTATCAGAGTCTCTCTCTTGCCCAGTAAGTCTCATGGTCACGCCCTTGCTACATGTCAGCAGAGACAGTCTCCGCCGCGTCTATCCTGTTTCAATCCCAAATACCAAGTCTTCGACTTGCCAACCCACAAATGTTGTGATGCAGCTTACTTTAATTAGGTTACTGTTGAACTTGCCCAAATCGCCCATGTACACATTTGCCAAAAGAATAAGATTAATCGAAGGTATGAATACCAGGATGGTGTAGCACAACCGTTTCGGCAGAAAGTTAGTGAAGAGATTGACTTTGCTTGTCTTTTTGACCACTTGTCGCTTGTTATGTTGAGAATGGCAAGACTAAGTGATGATGCCGACTACGATGCCGGCGAAATGTCCGGGAATGTACAAAGTCCACGGTTCGACTCTGGAAAATGTGCGTTCCTCTATTTTTTTCTGTTAATTTGACCAAGTTGCGAAACCAAGATTACCGTGTCCCACTGACCACATTGGTTGCAGAATAAGGAGGTTTAAGGATATGGGATTATGTAATGAGATGTATTCACCCTATTTCGTGTAAGGTGATGAAGGACTGGTAGTAGAATTTTCCC